CACATATTTTATCACATTTTAGCGTTCGCCACATTTTTATCTATTATAACTTGTTTTTAACATATTTATGGCTATATGCTAATTTAGAAAATTTTACTCACTTGAAACTGAAATGACCTCGGAGAAGTCGAAACGTCGTGACTTTTTAGCGCTAGTTTTGATTTCAAAATCGATTTCTAAGAAACTACTTATTAACATACTGTATTTCTATACCTAAATAAGAAAACCAGTTTTTAATTAATATGATGCAAATGCACTTCTCTATAAACTCACTTCCTTCAACTTAATGTCTGCTAATTTTTCATGTAAATAACAAACCACCAGTTGTGATCGCAGTTACCCGTCTCATTCTACATAGCAATTTTCAATTTGGTTTCAAAATTAACTTGCATTTGGATTTGCATCACTGTGCTCTGTTTTGCATCCTGTACTTTCTTTGTTGTGTTGTTTATAATATTGTTAATACTCTGGTACTGGTTTCAAGGCAATTCAATGAAAACTGTTCAGACGTCACTTACTTCCTGTATGAGAAGAAGTAATAATTAAAAGTACATATCATTTTTGGTCTGGGACATTGATGGGGATTCCTGGACAGGCCCCCAGAGGAGTTCCCATCTGCTTTCAAAATTATATCATTAGGCTAGCAAAACTAGCGCCAGTCCCAAACCCCACATTAGAATTTAAAATCCTTAAAACTCATAGTCTTGTTGTTATTGGGATAAGANATATTGTTAATACTCTGGTTCCGGTTTCAAGGCACTTCAATGAAAACTGTTCAGACATCACTTACTTCCTGTATGAGATGAAGTAATAAAGTACATGTCATTTTTGGTCTGGGACATTGACGGGGATTCTTGGACAGGCCCCAAGAGGAGCTCCCATCTGTTTTAAAAATTATATCATTAGGCTAGCAAAACTAGTGCCAGTCCCAAACCCCACATTAGAATTTAAAATCCTTAAAACTCATAGTCTTGTTGTTATTGGGATAAGATGTTCTAGGTTCTGAGCTACTGTGTCTGAAACACCTTATAAGATTAGAAGCCACAGATTCAGGAAAGCCATTCCCTAACAGGAACGTTTTAATCATTGTTATTTGTTTCTGAAAGAGAGAGCCTATTTCACAAATAGAAGACGCCTGGTGCAACAAGGCTCTAGCCCAAGCAATTTTGCAAGGCCAACGTTCATGACTAGAAAACAAGACATTCTGTCCAGTGTTTGTGTGCTTCCTATAAATGTCAGTGGATGTTCTTTTCAGAGACATGTCCAGGAAATGGACCATGCCATCTTCAAATTTGTTGACCATAAAACATGTCAGATTTATTTGGTTTGTCCATCAACGGCGTATCTTCAAAATAACGTCCATAAAACTACTCATTTATGAGGCCACTGTCAAGCATTTTACGAACAATATCATTTTGAGTTCTGTCATGATAAAAAAAAATGGCCTAATGAAGAACCCAACAAAATGCCATCAATTTGCTTGTTGAGTACTCTCTTAATTAATTTGGTGTTAATCAATTTAACATCATTAATTCCAAAGAAAACAATCTGAACAACTGTCAGGGCTTGTTGTCAGGGCTTGCAAACTCCAATTCCTCTTAGAGTGAAACCAAGTTGTTTTCCTTCCACATCTACATGGGAGAGTACCATATGTGGGTGGTGGTGGTGGTGTATCGAGTT